AATGCAACTTTTATGCCTAAAAATCAGTTTCACAAAGTAAAACAAGTGAGCATGTGCTAAACAAGTGTCAACACTCTAGCTTGCTTAGTGTTACAATTGACCCCCTGAGTATCCTCAGTCACAATATCCAGTTGAGTTCATGACTCACGCCACCCCTGTGGTCATTATCAGAGAAGTTAATTTTACTTATTCATATCAAAAGATCATGTGGCTTTGCAAAGATCTTCCAGTTTCAGAATAACAAATCAGTCTATTTTGTTCCCTACATCATTAATTTAAAGTCAAATTTAAATGCCGCCGCAGTCGTAGTATCGGTTTCTCAGTGCCACAGACTGGTTTCAATATGGCTACCAGAACACAATAACATGCAGGGAAATATCAGGTGGTAATGTTTCCTATTATCCAATCAGTAAAACATTCAAACTGAGCTTTATAAAAGAAACACCACGCAACACTTGCACCTATAGGCATGATTCGCTTGTATCTCATTCAGGCATGACATAGTCGGGCTAAACCATGCCTTTTTAGACACGACTGAGGGATCCATGCATGCATAAAACTGCATACATGTGCCTCTTTCTTGAAAAAACAAAACAACTAAAATAATGAAACAACTGCACACTCATGCAAAACACCAGCTGCAAGCTCACAGTGCACAATGCATCTTGGTTTCACAAGAAACTTATTGACCAAGTGCAAAACAACCCAGTCTGAGAAACATTCAGCAAAACTGAATACAGGAGCTCTGACAACAACGTATGACTGGTGCATGAAGGTGTTTGAAGTGCGGGGAACACAATAAAGACACTTCAAAAAACCTGGAACATAGAAACAGACAATAAAGACACAGACAGGTGCAAATACAATAAAGAGAAATATCTGAATCAAATACAGTGCATATAGAATAAAGCACACATAGAATACAGACACAAGCATAAATCACAGATATAGTATCAATCCAAACATGTGAGCTGGATGGGCCATACCTCCCACTCCTTATCTGAATTTTCTACAGTTTGCTGCTCCTCGTTTGCCTCTGACTCCTCGATTTTCTTCACCACGATGAAGCCAGGATCACGGCTGATGCTTCCTACCCCATCCCCAAAAACATCCGAGCTCCACTGGATGAAGAAAACGTACAGGTGGTCTGACCTACAGAAACAATGACAAACACACTGTTAAAAATTATATTATATGCCATTTTTAATTGCTTATGAGCCAGATGGAATATGCTGAATTTTTCCACATTTTTTGCTCTGATTTTAGGGAAAAAATGGGAATTCTGTGGAATGGATTTAGACATGGTTAAATACGTTAAATGAGTTACATTCTTATTGGTAGCTTAAAGAATAATCCAAATATAAAGAATATTTAATAAACAAACATGTCTGATCAAATGTGTTCCATTCTGATTTGTTTAGAAGTTTCTAGATAAAAATATTTTTACAAGATTTTACAGCACGAAAATAGTGGCAATACTGTGCATCTGAATTTGATTTATTTTTGTTAGACATGGTTAAATACGTTAAATGAGTTACATTCTTATTGGTAGCTTAAAGAATAATCCAAATATAAATAATATTTAATAAACAAACATGTCTGATCAAATGTGTTCCATTCTGATTTGTTTAGAGTTTCTAGATAAAAATATTTTTACAAGATTTTACAGCACGAAAATAGTGGCAATACAGTGCATCTGAATTTGATTTATTTTTTATTTATTGCATTAATATATATTTTTTTAAATAAAAAATGAAGTATCTGTAATAAAGTACACAACCATTCAAAGTTTGGGGTTGGCAATTATTATTATTTTTAAATGTTTTTAAAAGAAGTCTATTATGCTCACCATAGTTGCATTTATTTGATCAAAAATACAGTAAAAAGTAACACTGTAAAATATTATTACAACTTAAAAAGTTTTCTTTTCTAATATATTTAAATATGTAATTTATTCCTGTGATGGCAAAGCTGAATTTTCAGCAGCATTACTCCAGTCTTCAGTTTCACATGATCCTTCAGAAATCATTCAGATATGCTGATTTGCTGCTCAAGAAACATTTCTTTTTATTTTCAGTGTTGAAAATAGTTACAACATTATAATGTAGCGTAACAGCGTAATATTCCTATTGATGAATTGAAAGTTCAAAAGAACAGCATTAATTTGAAATGGAAATCTTTCGCTGAACCCAAATGGTAGTGCATGTAACTTTTGTTTTTAAACAGGCAAAGCTATGGAAAACTCAGTGTGACTTGCATCAGGATGCGACAGGCAGCGTGAGCTTCAAAGCCTCGCCTGTCAGGCCCTGCTCACGCACTATTGTCATGATACTTTACACTGATCATCCGGGTCGCCACCCAACTAGGCCATGTCTCAGTGACAACAACAGACAGCAGTTTGGCCACAGAGCTCTGCAGTACAGTACTACAGCATGTCTGGAGTTCTTTTCCTAACTTGCAGACTATGTCAAAACAAATCTATTCTGACACTCTCATTCTGATTTAGCGCAGCAAGTTTCCTAAAAAATATCTGTGACTCATCTCATACAGTGATAACAGACAGAATAAGTTCCAGTGCGATGAAGAACACTGAACGCTTGTGTTGAATCAGAGGGTAGATGAAATAAGACAAAGACAGTACTGTTTCAGTACTAGAGAGCTCATCGCATAATAAGACCATGTTCAATTTATATCATTAAAAATGAAAGTGACTTCTCACAAAATTGAATTAGAAATTGAATTATGCGGTGTAATTTCATAGAGAAATGCGTTTTGTGTGAATCTGACAAAAATATAAATAGGGCACATTTCAACCCTTAATAATAATAATAAGACGACTAAGGGAAGAAGAAATTATATATTTTGTACAAATAAAATTAACAAATAATATAATACATAAAATTAATCTGCATAAAGAAAAAGCCTAAATAAAATAAAAGAATAAAATTAAATAAAAAAACTAGACTTAAAAAACATTATAGATGGATGGATAGATAAAAAGGAGTAATTTGACTAATATGTAATGTAAATCTAAGTGAGTGGCTCAGCCAGAATAAAGTGCAAAATGGACTAGGTTTTATACAAATAATGGACACAAACTGTGGATTAGTTTGACTCCACATGTCAGACTCACCTCTCCTGGGGAACAGCAAACCAGTACTCATGTTTACGGTCACGCTGTGCGTACTGCTGCATGGAGGCACTGGCGTTGGACACAAACGTCTTCTTCATGGCCTTGCCAACCCGCAGACACAGAAACTTGTGAGACTTCTGCCTCTCCTTGGACACCATGAGGCCTGAAACACAGAAATATAAGCTCATCCTAAAAGCCCACCACAGAAACGGAGCAAAGGTAAAAACGGTCACCATAATGTAAAGAATTATATGCAGTTGAAATTTGTCTTACAAAAATGACTAATACATGATCAAATTTGAATGACTGTCTATAAGTGTGATGCAGTAATGCATCAATCATCTCATGGCCTGCATATGAAGGACATGAAGCACATTATCTTAAAAAATAGACATGCAATAATCACTGGAACAAAAACACATTGCCTCAAATGAACTACTCCCTGCCGGGAGCTCATATGCGAAGCTGAATCCAATGCATCTTTTGTTAATAACTGATTAGAAGGTCAACGCAGCGGGGGATGTAGAAAGAAACACCTTACACCAGTGTTGTAGGAGCCAAAGCCCTTTACACAGCCAATGCAACATTAATCTACTTACACTGCAGAACACAGTGGGAGGGCATTCATTTTCAATGGGCTAATTTGGTGTGTAATTCAGATGACTTTTGAAGTGGGTCCTGAGCTGTGGTAATAACCCCCTGTGATTTGTCAGAACAGTTAAATGAACCTTGAATATTACTGTGTTGAATAAGCAAAATAAATTTATATAGTTTAAAAAGTAATATTTAGGCTTTTGAGATGTGGTCATTGGTCATATATATATATATATATATTAGTGCTGTCAATCGATAAAAAAACCCTGAATTAATCGCACCTAACATTAAAGTTTTTAAATATACTCGTATATTGCAATAATTTCACATTCAATCTTCAAATTAATGAACAAA